GTCTTTGGTGGTCTCCACAGGGCAATCACAAGGAGTTTAAAAGTTCCCAATTTCACTCGGGGAAGGGAGAAGGCTAGGGCGGGTGGGGTGTCAAGTGAGTTTTTTTTTTGGCGACAGGAAACAAAACTGAAGCTGAAGCATAACTTTTGGGTTGTGTTTTTTTGCCTTTAACAACCACAAGCTGAAGGGAGCCGAGCCACTTCCACCAGGCAAGTGATTTATCTTGTTATAGGAGAAAGTTCATTTTTTAACTAAAGAACAAGTCTGTACACACGGAAATCCATCAGCAATGTTTTTCACAGGGTAACACGGTGTATTTCACTTTTTCCCACATGTTTCCCTGGGCAGATATGAACACCCGGGTGGAGGTTTTAAGCTGTTTTCAGACCTGCTTTGTTTTTTTTCTGCTCCTTTTTGTGAAGTCCTTGGAGACATGGTCTCCTGTCCCTGACAGCCACCCAGACTGTGGGCCCCAAGCCATGGAGGTGGGCCACTTGGCTTAACTCACACTGCCTTTGTGGTGCTTGTGACCTATTAACTGACTCCATAAAAAAGAAAGAATGGGTAAATTAGCATAAATATTGCACTTGTGATTTGATTAAATTGTGCTCGCAGCTGCCTTTGTAATAAGGGGTGGCGTATAGTTAAGTTTGTTGTGCAAAAATCCTGGCTCCAAAGTAATTCTGGGAAGAGCAGGTGCCTCACCAGGGCTTCCTGATGGTGAAACGACCTCATGGGTGCCCAACCCTTTCACAACCTTATTTCAGACCCAATATTTTCTGTTTTCTTCTGTTTCCTTCATCTGAGCTGCATCATTGCGCAAACTGATGGAGAAAGCTATAGCTGCTCCTAATTCTGCAACACAAGAGGTTGTCACAGAGAAGCATCCTTCAGCCCTAGAGGTCCTCAGACTTCATGGACAAGGTGAGCATAAGGCAGGGTGGAAGTACAGAGAGATCTTAATTTCCAAGCAGAGCAGAAACTGCCTCTGTTGGGGGCTGGTTATCCTCTCACCTGACCCGGCCTGGGGCAGCATGACCTCCTGCAGTCTCCCCAAAATATTGTCCCCAGGTTCTGCTGCTTTGCAGGGCTCCCTGAGCTGAAGGAGGCATCTTGTCATAGGGAATAGCTCCAGCCTCATCCCTTCCCCACGCACTTCCCCATCTCCAATATCCCGTGGACTTTTAGCCTCCCAGTGCTCTGTGCAGATGAGTTCCCTGGCTAACAATGCACTTTAGGAAACAAGACTTTTTTTACATTTACATTGTCTTATGCTGGCTGTTATAAACATACCCAGATTTCTCGGTCACGTCCTAGAGCGAACCAGTCATCCCATGATGTGTTTTTCCATTACGGTCCCTCTGAAGAACATAAGGAGGAAGTTTGATCTCCAAGGAGATGAAAAATCTTACCAACGTCATCTTTTATTGGACCTTTTGCTGTGTTTATTGAAACAACCTTGCACCCCTGTTTATCAGTTCCCCCATGTGTTTTCTTGTGGATACGGTGCAATCCAACTCTGATATTTCGCTTTACTAATGCAGAGGGAATGTGTTTGAAAGAAGTCCAAAATGAAGGAAATCCGTACCTTGCTGGTGGATGGTGCATGCTTTCTGCCTCTGGCTGCTGGTGAATTAATGCTGCTTTATGTCCCTGCATTCCCTGCTGAGGGCTCCTTGAGATGTTGCAAATTCAGCATCGCTGACCCTGCAGAGTTGATGCTGCTGGAAGCAGGGGTTTGAAGGTCTGCAATCAGAGCCACTGCCCTGGTGGCTTCCAAAAGCGGAGCTGGGACTTGGCACCCAGCAGAGAACTATTTGGGGTGAAGGTTTGTGAAAGACAAGCAATATTAGGGCTGCAAGGACATCCTTCTCCCAGTCCTGCAGTGCTGATGTGAGACTGGGACAGATAGCAGGCCTTGATTGAACCTACCAGACGAGTCCTTGCTGAATCAGGGCTTGGAGAAAGGTGTTTCACTGACTTTTCTGATTCCTGTGGCAGCCAGACAGCTAAATACCTTTGGGGCTCCGGGCCTACCCTGGCAAGCCTAGCATAGGCAAGATGCAGTCCTACCTTGGACCCTTCACTTGGATGCTATCCTGGCACTACAGGAATTAAGAATTAAGGAATTAAGGAATTAAGAGGCAAAGGATCATCTGTGCCTGATGGCATGGAGGCTGGGCTCCAGCACAGTGAGGGTGATGCTGGCCTGGGGACACTGGGCTGGCTGCACCAGTGACCAGAGGAATGGAGCTGGAGGATCTCCCAGGGCTGCACAGAAAGCCAGCCTTCATCAGAAAGGGGCTACAAATCCCGAAGCCACCAAGAAAAATGTATGCGAAAGCCTCGAGTGCTATATGGACAAAAGTTGCAGGTATTTAAGTCGCTTAGGCGTTTTTAATATTTGCGTTGTCAAAGGCGAGATGGGTTTCTCTGACATGTGCCTTGCAGCAGGCTGGAATAAAAGAGCAGCATGGCCCCTTCTGGACTTGCAGCTCCTGAAAACAGAGACAGCCCCAGTGTGTAATAGGATCTGCACTGCTATGCCAGGGCTTGAATAACATTATGGGGACTTTGCATAGATTTTTGCCCTTAATGCAAACAGGAAAATGATTTTCTAATCAGGTAAGATAAGGCTGAAACATGATAGATAGAGGTGGGGTTGTTAATGAAATACAAAGAAGTGGCCTGTAGGTCCATAAACTATTTTTAAAAACGATGCAACATTAAAAAAATGAGTTACTTCGGGTAATGACCTTGTGAGAGACTCTTGATGCAAATCTTTGTAACGAGTGCATTTCGATGAGTGTTTGAAAAATATATATGTATTTATTTGCATTGATATGTTTATATGGCTTTACATATCAACTTAGTCAGGAGAAATTGAATAAAATGTCTGAGGTCTGGGAAATGAGAAGAGATTATGAAAAGCAGATTTAATACAGCACCGTTTTTTGATGTTTGTGGCACATTTCATCATATTGCCAGAGACACCCAATTACACAGCTTGCAGAGTAATCAGCAAATGGGGGATCCGAAGCAGAATATTAACCGTGGTCTTTTTTTCCCCCTTCCTCCTCCTCCTCCTTCTTTAGCAAATATTATGTTATGCTTTATGGAAATGGATCAAAATGCCACATGTGCAGTTAATACTGAGCTCTGGAGCTCTTTCAAATCTTATTTTTCCCCTCACATTGTATTTTTCTGGAACAAACTTTCGGACATGGCTTTTAAGGCCAAAATATCACCTTGAACTTCCTGGAAGTTTGGTTTCCAGTTTTAGCGGTTGTCTGATTTTACCTTGTTGATCTTATGCCATAGGCAAAATCAGGTCTTAATTGCATGTAATAATGGGAGAGGACTTGAGCACAGCTCATCCATTCATTTCCCTCACAGTGGAGGCAGGAATGGACCATTTTCCCCAAAGCACAGCCCGGTGACAGAGGTGGGCACGTTGTGTACAGCACAGTGCATGCTGCCCCTTGGGGATGCATCAGTGGGAGTGCGACTTGGACCCCCCCCCCAGAGCTTTGACCTCCAGCTCAGAGCAGACCTGCTCCTATTTCTGTGGAAGCCTCATGGTAATTTATGCACGTATCCTGAGTCTGACCCCGTGTCCTGGTGCTTGTTACCAACTCCCCTTGGCATTGCATAGGGATGCTGGTCGTGTACCACAGACACCAGTGTTCCAGCCTTGCTGGGTGCCTGTAGGTATTGAGCAAAATATTCAGCAGCCTCAAAGCTCACAGATTCTCTTTACCACAGGGTTTTTAATATTCAAAGCAAGCCAAAAAAGGAAACCCAGTGATTAATAAGATTTTACATGGCCCATCCCCTCATTGTGGAAACAAAAAGCAATAGTAGTGGTCTAAGACAATCGTGAATGACTGACATTTTGGGTGCATGTGATCAAATGGCCCTTGAAGGCATTGATGGAAATGGGTCAAAGAAATTAGAACTAAAAATATTGCAGGCAGGGGGCTTCCCAGACTATGTCCATATTCCTGTTGTTCCTGGCTTTCTGCCTGGTCTAAGAGAAAATCACTTTTCTTGAGAATGTCAGAAAAGTTATTAATCATTATTACAAATGCACTTGCTTTTCTTTTCCAATTACTTTTTCCCTACTACATTCCCCCCCATACAATTTTTCTACAGTTGGGAGGGAATCTAGGAAATCATATTGGTCAGGTTTGTAGGGAAGACTTTCTGAAATTGAATAGTTTGATTCTTTTTCAAGAGCTTCATTAACAGAGCACTCCAGGAAAACCTCAATAACTTCAGAAGAATATTTTTTTCCCCATCAGCTCCATCAGGCATCACATTAGGCCTGTGGCCAAGATGGAAAGCCCTTGACACCACCACCACCTTCTTGCTCAAACAGAAGCTCCACCATCCACGCGATGTTCTGACAAACCCTGAGGGAGCAGCACTACAGAGAAATGAGTTTCGAAAAAGCTTTTCTGCTGTCTTTCTGAGCACAGCCCACCCTGGCTTGCTAGACCTAGAAAAGGGGACTGGTCTTCCATCAAATGGAATAGAAAATCCCCCAAATTAGTGAAAGCATTTGAGAACATTTGTCTCCTTTGACTTTGTCTCCTGGCTTGTGCTGGAAGATGACCAGAGGGCAGCGCCTTGTGCTTGCCCTGCCCAAGGTGTTGTAGCCAACATTTTGGTGTCCTTCAGCTAAAGGGGACTTTTCATTGCCACCTCAGCTGGAGGCTGTGACCCCAACCACATGAATTTGATTCCTCTGTCCCCATGCAGATGGCCTTTTGGTGACATCCCATCCTTCCCCAGCTGGTGGTCAATGGCACTTGTCACCATCTGCAGGGGACTGTGGTCTTGATGTGGGCACCAGTGCCCAAACATTGCCCCATGCCCAGGTTTTTGGGGCTCGAAAACCCACCAGTGGCACCACTCAGCTCTAAAAGAAGTCTGCCTGCTCACAGCTGCACCCTGCCAATCCACTTGGATACTTGTTTGTGAAGGATGTGCAAAAATAAATTTTCCTCATTTTTTTTTCCCCTTTTTTATTAGCGGAGTATGAAAACAGGCAATAATTTTACAGAAAGCAGGACTGGCACAATTGGTACATAGCATCATGCTGCAGCTTTTTGGAAATGAATATAAACTCTTTTTTTTTTATTCTTTTTTACCTACCAGAATAAATAAATATGATACACATTTGAGATCCTTGATAGTGAATTCTAAAGCACAAGTTCTTACACTACAGCTCAATTTTACAGCGATCTGTACAGTATATTACTTTGATTTCCTTTTGTTCTCCTTTAGAAGCCTTTGTTCCTTTGCAATATAGGTTTGACACACAAACACAGTTACATATTGGAGCTAACTGGACATCCTGGGTCAGAAGCTGAGAAAAAAAAAAAATAAATGACTGCCTCCAGGCATGAGAAAATAAACCAAAAAGTTATTTTCCATTGTACAGACATGCCTAAATTTCTCCAGCTTGAGATGGCCCTGCTTGATAGCTAGAGTGGTTAGAAAAGGCTTTGGCCATTTGTAGGGTGCCAGCTGCAGCCTATGGGTTTCATTTGTGTATTTCGCAGCTTTTGCACAGGCTTTTAGTTTGTAACCCAGACTATTCCAAACAGTTGTACACTTTTGTTAACACATGACAAATTTTATATTCTTTACAAATGAATATCGGGGCTCAGCTCTGTCCTATGGCAATGTGAATCTGGCACTGTGCCACTGGAATTGATGCAATTGCTCCCCTGTGGCATCGGAGCAGTGCAGAGCAGTGTCTGGGTCTTACTTTACAAGTCCTGGTAGGTTCTTTTGAAACCAGAAAGTTTTCATGACCTGGGGTGGATTCTGAGCTCACAAGGTCTGGAGGCCACGCTCAGTGTTGGAGCTAATTAGAGCCGTCATCAATAAGAGGCCCCCATTTACAGAAGAGGTTATAGAGGTTATATAGAGAGATGTTGGCATCTCTGCCTGTGTGTCTCCTCCTCAGGCAGCCCAAGAAAGCAGGGGACAACACGGCCACTGCTGCCCATGTGGCTGGGAATGAAAGAGAGCGCCTTTGAGGACTGGCAAGCAGGGGATGCTTCATCATCTCCAGGCTGATTTGGGACACAGCAGGAAGTCCACACACGCACATTGTTGCGGGGGATTTTGTGGTTGTTTCATCTTGTTTTGCTGGATTATTATTATTTTTTTAATTTGTTTGTTTCTTGCACTGATCTTTTCGTACCCCTCTGCTATGGGTTTGGGTTAAGAGTAGATCTACTCGGAGAAATAGCTTTTTTAACTCAATAGCAAACACAGGAGGTGTATTGTGTTGCTCTAGGACAGATCATAAAAAATCAGCAAGGGGCACATGGAGGGGTAAGAAAGGAGAAATAGAAAAATCAACACAGCTTGTAAAAAACAGCAGGAAATTTCTGTAATTGAATTTTTTTAAGCCTAATTGAGTTATGTTTCATAGCTACTGTAATTAAACTAATAGAATATGGTAGATTTTAATTTACATTTCCTTTCTACAGAGGTTTATTTAATCCTTTTCATATGAACTCTTCAGAAGTGTCCTGAAGTTGCTTTAAATTGTCATGCCAATGGAAGCACACGGGACAAGAAACAGCTCCAGCTCCCTCCTCTGTGCCCACGTATGTTGTATGTTGGCGTTTCCTCAGCAAAGCTGCGCATCTCCCTTTGGCTGTGCATCAGCAGAACCCTAGAGCTGGTGTAAATTCATCCCATTATGAAATACCTAAATGAGAAATGGAATGCAGGGAAGGGTCCATTTGCTGACGGTTGTTTTCATGTTTGGGAACATTTCTTGTATTACCTACACTGTAAATGGTGATTTTTGGTGGGGGATGTACAGGAAAAATTTGTATTGTTCATTATTCCCATATTCAATACCAAGGGTATTTAAACTTGTTAGATGGGAAAAAAAAAAGCATGGAAAAAAGGGGACTGAAAAAAAGAAAAAACAACATTCTTTCCTGCCTTGCAGCATCATTAATGGGTCTTTTCTCTCTGGCAGTGAGTATCTGATATTTCTACTGCATGGTTTAAACACCCCTTTAATTTATTAATATGCATCTCTTGCAAAGAAGAAATTTTGCTGCAAACTCTTACCCTGAATATTGCAACCTGTTTTCTCATGGGCCCTCCAAGGACCATAGCTAAAACCTTTAAAAATTCGGTAAGCAGGATCTGGATCCACAGCTGGTTCACCAAGGAGAGGGAATGGCAGCAAAGCCACAGTGAGGGGAGCAGACCGGCAGAGGAAACCCCCAGATACAGAACCTGTCTCAGAATAGGAATTAGGGAGATTCTCTTCAGTCTCTCCATCACTGTTTTTAAAGGACCAGGCGTATCCTTTCTCAGCCTCCAGGCCATGCTGTACATTTATTTGGGGAACGTTCCTTTCATGCATAAAAAATCACTTTGAATGTCTGCATTACAAAACATAAAATGTTGCTTCTCTTTTTGCATTTATCTGCCTGTGACTGAAGCCATACCAGTGATGCCATGTCCCAGCTTTGGGTTGGTGCAGCATCCAAAAGAGATACATAGGATTATTTTTTTTTAGTATTTTTTTTATAATAGTTCTTCTATCTGATGGGGTAGGATCTAGGGGTTACACTCTAGGCATTTCATGCCTGTGACGAAAGAAGCCGTGTTACACCAACTTCAGTGCTTTTTAAAATGGATCAAATCACAGCTGGGACAGAGGGGAGGGAATCTTCCTTCTGTTTTGTCTCTGAGGCTCACCAACAGCTTCACTTTTCTAAGTAGCTCGGGCTGGTGGAAAAGCAGGGAACAGGCAGACCTCACCTCCATCACAAGTCAGGGGAGATTTGCATGGGTCCTTCCCACTGGTAAAGTTTTTAGGTTTTTCAAATTCAAAGAAGAATGACAAAGTAGTGTCACTCCCTTTGGTCTTCCCACTATATGCACAGGCTCGAATTGGATGTGGAGTTTCTCCCTATGCTTTTTCTGAGTTCTGCTTTCTTTCCTTTTTTTCTTTTTTTTTTTTTCTTTTTTTTTTCTTTTTAATCAAAGAAGTCCTAAAGCCCACAGGCATTAAAACAATTCGCAGGAAAGAGTCTGTTTTGACAATAATTCTTTATGGAACTTTTACAAGCTAGGAGCCTAAATTCTTAGTTTTTGCATTTCCAAATCAATTTTCTCATTACCTGTAAGCTTACTCTCATTGCGGAAATTTTGGTTAATTTTGACTGTAAGAAGATAACCAAAATTGGCATAAAATATTTCAGTGGGCTTATACAGATTTAAGGCGTGGAGTGTTTTTTCACTAGTTTATTTTTAAATATTAGATAATTTCATCCTGATTCAGAATGGGAAAAATAATCTCAACATAAGAAATATTCTGACACAGCTGCACCAGGCAGAGGCAGATGAGCAGGACACTGCACTGAGGTCCCCAGGGAATGACAGAGATCCAGATGTCCCTTCCCCCCGTTTGCTTTCTGGGCTGGGCTGGCACCATCCCAATGTCCAGATGCTCCATCTGGGAAGTTCCTGGTGTCTGCTCAGCCTGTTGCAGGGATCACAGGGGATGAAGGGGATCAAACACCGGAGTAGTGTGAGATGTGTGAAGGTGATGAATATTAAAATCATTTTTTGCACCGAGGCAAAGGGAAGAGTCTTGTCCCATGGCTTGGTGGGGAGGTCCTGTCTTCCCACGGAGGATCACAACAAATCTAGTGCTGGGTCAAGGGAGTTTATCTCCTGTGCTCCGTGTCCCTGCCTTGCATGATATAGCTTTATTCTGGTGTCCCCAGTTTGGGTGACAGGCACCCACTGCTACAAAAGTGAAAGCTGGGATGTTCAAAGGATCTTTTTGGAGACAGTAAATGTGCTTTGGAGGTTTTAATTTAGTCGGAGTCCTTTGAAAGTGTCAGCCAAAAATCTACTTCCTACAAATACATTTGGTTTTGGCAAAGCAAAGAATTCTGCTGGTCACGGGACCTGATCTGACAAAGTCAGGAAAACTAAAGCAGGAGAGAAAACCTCAAAACTAGAGTATTTTGCAGAACAGAACTAGTTAAGGAAGATGTTCCATTTTCTTTGGAATCTGGTGTGGTCAAAGAACTGCCCCTCCAGAGCTCTGCTCTTGCTACGGCTTTATGAGGGATAAAACCCTCATTTCCCACCAAACTTGGCTATTCTTACGTCTCAATTTACAGGATTTACATGCTTTTTCAAGAGGCATTAGTAGAGCTGAAAAACACTCTTTTCCCCCCGTGTTTAAAAAGGTAATTTGACCCATGGCTTCTGCATTGGTATGAAGCAAGGCAGGAGCAAGAGGGGCTGTAGGCTATGCACATGCTGCATCTACACTTCTTTAAATCAAGTATGGACCAGATGATCGTCTGCAGCAAATTAGCCCAGCTCTGCTATTCATTAGTGGCAGATCCGGCTGACACCCTTTGGATTCAAACCTAGCACCTGCCACAGAGCCGGTCTGGATTGTTGGTCCTAGGCAATATCAGATTAGATGTGAATTTCTTCCTTCCTTTGCTCGGTGCAGTGGGTTCAAAGGATTTATTTGGCTTGGGAAAAAAATGTAATAATTTGGATTGGCTTGGAAAAAAAAAAAAAAAGTAATTTCGATCAGCAGAAACATTGCTTCTCAACAAGGAAAACCACTCTGGGTTGATTCCTGAAATGAAACCTTATTCCAGTAAAACAAGGCCCATGCTGTTGACTGAAATCACTTTGTAGTCGGTGAATTTTGGTTACTTGCAAACCTTGTTCTGGCAAGTTTACCTATTCCTCCCCAGCTCCAGAGAATACAAAGCCCCCGCTTATCACCTGCTTTGCCTCCAGCATTTCAGATATTTTTCACTTGCTACATTTTCACTTGCTAACCAGGTTCTGAAGCTGCAGGGCTTGAGGGTAGAGTTTGGTGATCGGAGCATTTTTCTAGGCACAGCTTGCATTAATCATGGTTTTGTCAAAGAACCATATAATTCATGGTGTATGAACACAGTGGGAGTTCATACAAAGTTTTTATTATTCTCTATTGTCAAAGCTAGACCAAAATGCTCTCCAGAAAGAAAACCCCATAATTTGTAAACAGAGGACTTTACACTTCACCGAAGATCAAAGAGGAGACAATCAAGTAAAAAATAATCCTGTGAATTTGGATTTTGCTTTTCTCCCTAGCCAGCAGCATTTTGTCCTCTGTCTTTGAACAAGTGCCATTAAAAATTAAAGGAAAAACGCTTGCCTTTTCAGAAGTGCTTAAGCAGGAAATTCACCTTTGCATCATTTCCTGGCCGTTACAGAATTGGCTTTAGCAGAGAAGAGAGAAGTGGAGTGGTGAAATGTAAAATCATTTTTCTTTTGCAAATCTTTTCTTTAGGACACTGACCCAAGAAGAGCAACTAGCTGCGACCTGAGGTCGGGAGGATGGCTGATTTGTAACTCTGATACTAGCTACTAAAACTGAGAAAAAAAGGGGAATAAAAACAAAAGAGGTCACAGTTCTGTAACACTGACAGTAACACACGGGTGATGGGTGCTTTCAACATCATAAACTATGTACAAGACAAAGCATGACTCTTTGTTTTCCCAAAGAACTCAAGAACAACAACAAAAAAAGGGTGTATATAACACAGTTGGCACATTATCGCAGGGATGAGGAGGGGGGGCTTTTTCTGAACGTGACAGGCTTAACTCACGGCAGTCCAGAGGGACAGTTCATCTGCCTAAACACCTCCTCTCCCCCTTCCTCGTTAAATATTTAGCAAAGACCAGGCCGGTAGCAATGTCTGACGCAATCACGGTGCTAGTAAGACGTTAGCAAATGCAAAGTTTTCCCTGAAAGGGAGCACCTTACTCCGGGAGGAGATGAGGGTGGGCAGGGGGTCAAGGAGTGACACTTTTAGTGCCAGCCTCTGGTGTGTCATCTCGCGGGCGATGGTGGCTCAGTTGGGGAGGGTGTCAAGCCCAAGGGACGCCGCGTGCTGCTTTGCCCGGAGCCGTAGGTTCTCAATGCTCGTCGTTTTACTGTTCAGGCTTGGGAGGGAGCTGGAGGCCTGCAGGATGGGCGAGGACCAGACCTGCTGAGCGTGGGAGAGTGACTGGTAGTACGACTGACAGTGCAGGGAGCTCAGAGGAGCCATGTTGACGTTCATGCCCAAGTAGGGCATGGCAGATGGTGTCCCCATTTCGAAGGAGGAGTAATGGACCAAGTTGTTGGTGGCTGCCATGTGCTGGCGGAATTGCTCCTGCAGGCGGAAGAGGCTCAGGGGCGAGGAGGAGTAGGAGTGAGTCTGAGCCAGGCCACTGCTGGATGAAGGCGTCACCGTCGCGCTGATGGGAGACTCTGTAGCAGGAGGCAGAGGGGATGGGGGTTATTTCTACAGGCTGGGTGCAGGTGATGATCTGCACTGCAGCACGGTCTTCTCTCTTGCACCAAGAGTGCAAAAGGGAAGGGTTGTGTTAGCTCAGAAAAGCTAAGACGTGTCTGATCCACACCGGGCATCTTATTCCCTAGACGTGTGGTTGACCTCTTTTCTGTGGCTTTGCCACTGCTAATGGGCACTGTTCTCCCCAAGCTCTAATCTGAGCAGAAAGCTTTTGCCCTTTCTGCACTCCTGCTTCAATGGACATCATGCCCTCTATGGGCCCCAATTAGTGTCAGGGACAAAAATGCAAATCTGAGCATCTTACCTGCAAGCATTCACACAATAGGGAATAAGGGGCTATACCCAACCACCAGCATCTCCCTTGGAAACATCAAGTCCAGACCCCAACCATCATCAAGATTCATCCCCTCACCTGCTTTCGGGCTTGCTCTCTTGCAGTTCAAAGCCTTGCCGTCCACACCAGGGCTCTTGTCCACTTTAGCCTCATCCAAAGTGCTCTTAAACTCCTCCTCTCTGTCGGTCTGGTCCTCGGGTGCTGACTCGCTGGCCGACTGCTCCGACAGGGTGAGGTTGAGGTCCGTGCTTACCTCGCTTGGGAGGCTCTGGGTCTTCTCAGTGTCTGGCGTTGTGGCCTGGGTCTCCAGCACGGGTGGCTCTGTCTTCCCCTCGTTGTGGCTCCCTTCACAGTCCTTCTGCTTCTGCAGCTGCTCCTTCTGCAGGCTACGCTGCTTCTTCCGGAATTTGGCCCTCCGGTTCTTGAACCAAACCTTCAATGCCACAAACAGCATGGGAGAAAAATGGTGAAAATCACACATAATGCCAAAAGTAGCATCATTCAGCTGGGGAGCTTCAGGGGACCACAAAGCACTGAGGTACTGCAAGCCCGTTGTGCCCAAACATCACTCCACTTCGCTGGATCTTAGAGCTCTACCTTCTATTAGTGCTTCTACAAATAGCACAATATATACATATATATATTAAATCAGCCTTTGTATTTATTCTCTAAACCACATCACTGCTTTGTTTTGTCTAAATTGTTCAGGTTGTTGTGTCCAAACAGAACGTCTTATAGTTGAGTATGACGATACTGCATTGGCTTACAGTACTGTGCTCTAAATGTTAATTTCAAAAATAAAAGCAAGAATTCTAAAATAATTCTAACTGCACCAAAACTATGGAAGGAAAAGTCAAAGTAAGTCATTATAATTATAAGTCATGACAGGCATAGGCTGATATCTTGGAACCAAATCTAAGGAAGGGGAGGGAGAATCCATATTTTTTAACTAAAATCAGTAGACATGGAAAAAGCGTATTTGCAAATATCCTTAGCGTTGTTTAGTTGGTTAGATGAAGGTCAAAATATATTGACATTTATATAAAATAATTGTTTGTTTGTTTGTTTTACACTACTTATCCATTTAACATTGAGAAGCTTGTTATTTAGTGTTTTAGAGCCCAACAATGCAAGAACCTCCCTACCAGCAGGTTGCATTAGTTGGAACTAAAAAAAAAATTAAAAAAAATCAGACCTTGGCCTGAGATGTTACAATTATTGACAGTGGTGGAAAAGAGCAGCTGGAATTACTTGGGTTTTTGCTCCTCTGAGAAAGCCAGAAAAGCCTTACAAATAAATAAATAAGTAGACTTCTGTTGATGTTTCTAAAATTTCCCCCAAAGAAATGTGAAAGAACAAATGAAAACCAGTGTACACTTCAGACAATCCTAAATTTAAAAAATATGCTTGTGGATTCAGAATTTCTTTAGCATATGTGAGACTTCAGTTGAATGGTTTAGGGGTTGGTTTTTCTTTTCTTTCTCTCTCTCTCTCTCTTTTTTTTTTTTTTTTTTTTTCCCTTTCTCATTTATGGCTGTTGTTTTTCCTGTCCTCTTTGACAACCTCTTTGACAACTTTATCTCCCCTCAAATCCTTGGTTACACTAGAAGAATCTTGAAAAATTGAGAGAGATGGTCAACCCTCTGGGGGTTATTCATTAATTAATTAAATGAATTAGTCCCCACTCACAAACCCACAAAATAGCAGTACCTGGACTCTGGCTTCAGGTAGATTTGTGCACATAGCCAGCCGCTCTCTCATCACTACATCTGGATAGTGAGTCTTCTGGAAGGTCTTTTCCAGTGCCTCCAGTTGCTGCGCAGTGAAGGCTGTGCGACTTCGCCTTTGTTTGCGGTGCTGGGATCCATAACGTGCCTCCAAAATGATGTCTTGAAATGTACAGCCGTTGGAAGACAAGAAAAGTGGCCAATTTAATTATTGGAATTTGTATGCTAACAGTCGAATTAAGCACTTGCTAATACCAAATGAACCTGAACCTACAAAATAGTGTTCTCATGGGCTCTAGATTTAATAAAAACCATGTATGCATTTTGCTGGTTAGTTGAGATGTCTGAGGAGGTAAAATTTCTGGCTAGAAAGCTTATTCTGGAGTGAGAAACCCTAAGACAGATGTGGGAACTGTTGAAACTCCTATGCTAAATTTGGTTGAAGTGAGCCAACCTGATCCAGTGTCAGTGGGGCAGGACACGCATACGTGCAGACCTCACTGTGTCATAAACTGCATAAGGCTCTTTCATTAATAAACATAATTAAGAACAAGGAGAGGAGATTCACTGTTGTAATGAGAAGAGCCCAACACTGTGTGTGATATTCTCCTTGAAGCCATGGGCAGAGCTCTGGTAGGCTTCAATGCTGCCATGATGTGGTGTGCTCATCACTGGGAAGAGGCCATGCAGCTCAAATAGAGATGCCCTGAGCCTGTTTTGTTGGCTGCAGCTGCATTAGGAGGCATGCATCTTCCCAGAAACCAGGCTGAGCTGGCCCTTCTTTAGTGTCTTGTATGTAGCTCGCCGTAGTCTTCAAGCCATGATATTGGAGAGCAGTTCTGGGCTCCAGTTCAGGAAAGCACTTAAGCTCATGAGCTTATGTGTTTAGCCTGAAAGCATGTGCTTTACTGAGCACAGACACTCTCCAGCATCTGGGGTGGAAAAAGCAGCCAGGAACCAAACCCAGCTCCACTGATTGCAAGCCCAGAGCTCATGCGCTGAGCCCTTCTCAATAGGGATGCTGCTCAGAGGGTCTGACTTTGCAAACCCCGCTTGCAAAATTGAGGGCAGAGAAGAAATTCAGACTGGGGAAAATCTGAGGCCCACATTTAAGGGCTTATTATTTTACCGCAGGCGTTATTATTGCACAAGAGTTAGTGGGAGTAGAAAGATCTTAAATCAATGAAAATAAGCTATTTTAAAATGAAAAAAAAAAAAATCCCTTTATTATGCAAGTTGGGACATGTTGTACTACAGCATTGGAATGAAATACTCAGTCTGGCGAGAGGTTTGCTCTCAAAGAGGAAAACGCAGAAAGAGCTTTAGCAGTGTCTGGTATCATTTTTAATTCGGTTAAGAATGTGACTTCCAGTAGAAGGGAGGGATAAACACACTAGAAAACAACCTAACAGGAAGAAAAATCAGCATTATCAATGCGTGGAGCCAGATGAAGGCTCTTGCTGCTGTTTCTTTGCGCTTTTGTCACGAGCATCGTGGCATGAATGTAAACAATAAAACAAAACCTGCTGCCAGGCCAGTCCCAGAACCACAGAGCCGGGTTCCAAATATGTCAGCTAACGAGCATAGCAAATCAGCTCTGCACCGCTCGAGCATTCCTCTTCCAAACTTCCAGCTGTTCCATTCTAGGTCAGCAGTTGTAGCGCCCTTCTGGGCTACGGCCAAAGCAGTGTGGTTTTGGCAACCTGGAAAAGACGTGATCGGGCTAAAGGTCTTCGGCCAAATACAATACAGTCTTGCTTGCATACAAGAGACCTTTGTGTTCAAGTTATCGGGGCTCTTGGGGGAGTTAAACCCCTGGTAATAGCTGCAGCTTTGGAGGCAGCAGCGGCGTCCTTCACGCGCTGAGACACAGCGCACCATGCAGCCAGGCTGGGAGCAGGAACCTTCCAGGAGCAGAAACCAAAGCTACCCTGAAATGCTTTTCAAAGCTAACATTTTGTTTCAAGTACAAGAAATAAGGAGAAAGGACGTTGGTTTAACACCCTACCTGGAGGCTGCAATATTCCTGAATTTTGAGAGTAGAGGTTAGACCTACCAGTTCCCCAGAGGCGGCAGCTCATGCATTAAGTTTGGCCACTCCAACGAGAGCTAACCAGCAATTATTTTAATGTTTTAACTATGTTTTCAGGCTTTGTGCAAGAAGGAGAATATAAATTGCAGGTGAGGCCTTGCAGTTACAATCAGAAACCTCTGTTTTCTGACTTAAGGTCGTTTGCTTTTGCGCTGCTTTATTCTGACTGTCCCTGGAAGGCAAATGAGATCTATAACCCTGCACTGAAAGATATTCAGAAGTAACAGAATGTGAAGCAGCTGCAAAGGAACCAGCTTGTAGGTATGTAATGCCTTTCCCACCAAAAAGAAGCAGAGAAGGGGACTATGGGATTTAATTCAGAAAGGTTTCCAGGTGGGGTATTAATTTTAAAGATAAGAGGTCAGAAAACTGATTGAATCTCCCAGTCAACAATATGAGTTTTTAATCTTTTTATTTTATTTTTTTAAAGAAAATCTCCCTCTGTTTTTACCCTAGTTAGGGTCAAAAAACGTTAAGTCCTCCATGCTCTAGTGTAACAGATACAGGTGATTACGAAAATCTTGTGTCTAGGAAAGGGGCACCTTGAGACTCAAGGTCTGCGAGGCACGTAATGGAATTTGGGATCATCATCTCCCCTCTGACCACCTACATGCTGAAAGGGTGAGGGCAGGGGGAGGTGGATTATCAGGACAAGCAAAGTGTCCACCTGTCATCAGTCTGCACCCCAGTGGCAGAGGCAGGGTTAGAGTCTAGGTCTCCTTGATCCCACTTGGGATCCCTTTTGATAGGGACAGCGACTCCCAGCCCTGCCGTACAGCCCCCCACAGATCCCACAGGCCACAGTAAGTGGTCTGAGGAACCTCGTAAGGTGGTCACTCCTCCTTTAGCAGATGGATAAAGAAACATTACTGGCATGAAGATTTGGGAGTCAGCAGTGGTTCACTGACCCAAACAGACACCTTGCCTTTGTGTACTGCTCACTTCAGAGGACTGTCCTGGAACTTTTACTTCCTTACCTCGCTTAAACCAATGTCTCTTAAATTTAGCCCACTAAATATGTCTGGATAGATTAATTCTTTCACCTGTTATAGGCTGAAAGGAGTCACTCCACCTATTTTTTTCTCCTTAAATATCAGACAGCTAGAAAGCTTGCTCAGAGCAGACGAGAAATTATTAGACAGTCAGGGAAAATGTGTCCACTCTGGGAAGGTTTCAAGAATCACATCCATTGCACCTTTTTTACTTTAGCTTCAGGGTACTAATGCAGTGTTTCTGCATCTCTCCTGTCATCAGGTCTGGTCTACTACACCGCATCCTAGCCCTGACCTGGGTGATGTGACAGCTGCTGACCATTTGCACTGCAGAAGACTTTGATGATCTCAGCCAGATCTGGTGATTCTACAGTATGAAAGAAATGTAGATATATTTGCCCTACCATACCAAATATTTTCAGCTCTCCATTTAAACAAATCTCTCTACCAAATCATAAAAAACTACACGGACTTTGCACTTCCTTTTAATGACAGTAGGGAACGCAGTGCTGTTACACCCATGGTCAAACACAGCCAAATAGATCAGATGCTGTGGAGCAGCAGCTTCTGCCCTGACATTCCACTGGCAAAAAATACTGTGTGAATAACAGCCTCTGGGTAATGCCACATGTGACTTTCTTTGAGACTAAAAAAGCTCTTTTATGGAAGGCAAAACACAAGAACAGCTGACAGGGAGCCAGCAGGACCTGCGAGCATCACCCAGCTTGGGTGATGAAAGAAGGTTTAATAAGATGACAAATGAAAAGTAGCTGCAAGAAGGACCAACGTGGAAGAGCAAACAATTCTGGGATGGCATAAGATGGCTGTTAGTGGATGACCTGTGTCCCTCGGTGGGGAAATCTGCCTCACAGCATGCTCATATCTATTATGCTGTTATTTCCTAAGAGCAAAATCAGTCTTTCTGACATTTGTTTTTCCCCTGATAAAACAGTTATCAATGTCATTTTATTCTCTCTTTTTGACCCCACATAGTAAGGCTGAATTCCTTCTCACCCCCTTCTCATTGTTTTTTCCCCAAAAGCCATGAGTTGTTCTTACCAGCCAGTCTCTCTGCCAGGGTGAGGGCGTGCACGGAGGGCCGGTAGTCGGGGGCGTGCTGGGCTTGCTGGGCTGCCTGCTGGTGGAGGTTGTACATGGCGCTCAGCGAGTTCATGGCGTGCAGGGAGTAACCATTCACTCCATAGTGCTGCATGGCGACATCAACCTGGAAAACAGCGGCCAGAGGAGAGAGGTGCTGAGGGACACGCTACTCCAGCGCCCCGGTGTCTCAGCAGAGCCTTGGAGATGCAGAGATGAAACTTCAGCTGCTGTGTGCAAGGCTCGTTTCCAGCCTCGCAGCTCCAGCAGGGTCTGGGGCAGGAATAAAAACAGCTCCTGTAGACCTAACGTGTTAAAGACAGCAGTCTGGCTTCCAAGCTTAGAGGCTGGCATCTGACTGTGTGTGTACACGACATGCTGAACAAAAAATGGGAAGGGATTTTTCAGGGTTGTTACATACATACCATAATAAAAGACATAATATTGTCATTCCTTTTGATGTACTGACTTACCTTCATCCCAGAACTAGCTAGGGGTTTGTTCCTATCATTGCATACAGTGAGCTGTTCAATATTGCTATTGCTCTGATGTCAAACTCTTTTCTTTTTTTTTTATCTGAACCCACTCATGCCATTTATTTACATCCATGCTTCTTAAGGGTCTTCATAACAAAGCCCAAATGATAGGGGAAAACTCATAATGTAAAGTAAAACAAATCTGTAGCTTAATAGGGACAAAGGCGTTATTGCTAAAGAGGGAATTAAGGTTTGCAACAAATACTGAAGTCTCATAGCTCAATAGTAAAGAAATTATTTGGAAAACAAACAAACAAAACAACTAATTTTTTTTTGTTTGTTTCTACAGCGGGCTCTGCATGAAACTTCAAGCTGTTTTTCCTTACAGACCATCTGTAAAACTGAACTAATATTGATCCCAAAAGCTGAGCGATGCTTCATTCACCCGTGTTATAAATGACCGAGGGCCTCCAGGATGCTGTTTCTGTGGTTCATAAGACATCAGAAAGGATGTTGTGAAACATTTTCCACAAAAGAAAATTCCAAAAACTCCACTTAAACCAGTAAGTCATCGTCTGGAAAGTCAGTGCAAAGAATGGCCATTCAGAGAAACAGGTCCAGCTGCACTAGTTTTAGGAAAGCAGACAGGATATCTAGGTGACCTCGTAGGAAACAGTTTTGGTCATTGATCATTTGATCATTGGAGGAAGGTGGCTTGACTCCCATGATTTTTAGAGGAACCTGATACATTAAAAAGCAAAATTTTGTATCTAGCTGTTATATGTTGTATTTTTTTTTCAGTAGCGGGGACTCCTTAATCTCATACTCATGCCTGGAGGCCTTCATGTTGCATGTAGAGGATTTTTACCATGAAGGACTGACCCTCAGTGAAGGAGGAGGAATGGACGCAAATGATGGTGAGCCTCTGGGACTGGACAATCACTGGTCCCACTATCTCCATTGCTCCAATTTCCCATAATCTCCCCCAAAACCTTAATGCAGGACATACGGACACAGAGTAAACTTGTTTAACATCCAGAGACCAAGCTGTAGCCCAGAAGCAGAGGTAGGAAGCCATGTGGAGGGGACTTGTTCTAATGCCCTGCCAGCTCCAGGGTGGTTCCTGTTCCTCTAGGATGTTTCCTTTTGACTGGGGATGATGTATCCCAAGCTTTTGGTATTGTCTTCTCCAAGAAGCTGCAGTAATTAAAAGCTGGTAATTTGGTGATCTACCATCCAGCCTCGCTGTGGCTATCCAGCACCTACCTCCCACATCACTCTGCAGGATGCTAGGCACATCCCTGTGCCCCAAGGAGGATGTTACTGGTCACAGCCTTTCCTATGATATCCAATATAAGGGTATAAGCAAAAAGCTACCTTCTACTTAAAAGTGCATACAGATAATTTTAATATCAATAGCTGATTTATTGAAAAATGCATCTAAAGGGGTCTGACGTATTTTCTAGCTAGTTATGAAAATTGGGAGAAAAAAATCTGATCTTCTTTATCATATCCCAGCAATTAATTTTGAATAGATTTTCAAGATATTTTATTACAAAATTTTACCCAAGCTTATTTTTAGGAAAAGCAAAAACATCCCCAAATAAAATAATTCATTCAACCTTCATCTACACTTATCAAAGCTTTATTCATAGAATCATAGAATATCCTGAGTTGGAAGGGACCCTTAAGGATCATCAAGTCCAACTCTTGACACCGCACAGGTCTACCCAAAAGTTCAGACCATGTGACTAAGCGCACAGTCCAATCTCTTCTTAAATTCAGTCAGGCTCGGTGCAGTGACCACTTCCCTGGGGAGCCTGTTCCAGTGGAAGAGAAAGCCAAAGCTGTTTTGAGCTGAGTCAGGGTGACAATGGGTGCTTTTGGTTCGGATGCTACCATGCACGAGGATGCCACTGCTCTGCTCTAGCCAAGCTACAGGAAGATGTAAGCAATGCCAGAATTGTGGCATGTACTAAGGAACAAAAACGTGTCCTAGTGACACGTGTTGTCAGTGTGGCCACCAGAAGACGTGTCCCATCACCTGCAGGAGGAAGGCCAGGCTGAAGCTCACTGCAGGTCCCACCACGGATACTGCTAGAGGTGCCTGAGGCAGTTTTGCCAGGTTTGGCCCTCAGGGTGGAGGAGCTCCCACATTTTTTGTGCAGCCATGTGAGGACACACAGCCTGTTAAGTACCCTGGGCTGCTGCCAGAGCTCAGTCCCTAGCAGACACCAGAGAATCCACACCAGGGCTCAGCCTGGCTAAGAGAGACATGGGAGGCCAAGTGTCTTTGGCTCCCCATCGCACAGAAATGCCTGTTTATTTCCTAATCCCCTTGCATGCTCTTATTTTTCACCAACCTGGCACATTCAGGGAAGAACAAACAGGGAGAGGAGGCGAATATCCCTATAACACCCAGTCCAGTGATGTGCCTGGAGCCCAGGCTTCCACTGAAACACTCGTTCCAGGGAGATTTCAGGTTATTTGACCATTAAAAACACATCTGTGTGTACACATGTGCTTGAACAAACTCTTCTGAGTGGCCTAGGAGAAAGTGTATGAATTAAAAAAAAGTTAAATAAAATTATAACAATGGGCTCATGAGCAATCCATATGCATCACAGCCTTCATGATAACAGCCTGGCATGCTGTGGTGCAGGCGATGAGCAGAGCTTCTCAGCCACTTGTGCAGCACAAAAATCACCCTAGGTTTTGTATAAAAACGGGGGAAAAGAAGATATCTTGCATTTACTGAGCGAGACCATTCAACCTAATAGGCAAAGTTAACCGAGACAGCAAACAGCTCCTGCTTAACTGTCAGCTCCAAGCACACTCCAACCCCAATAAATTAAATATTTAAAAGACATCATGCAGCAATTTTTTTTAATGGAGAAAGCCATTCATCAAGCCACCGCTGTGTTTCACAAGCTGTCGAATAGTGCTTACACTGGTTAAAATAATCTTTATATTTCATTAAGCAACCAAATAAGCTGATCCCTCCCCACTGGCTGTATAGATGGTTTTAATTTTCGAAATCTGCAAATGCATCTTTTATGTCTCTGGGTGGCTGGAGGGCCTCAGAGCAGCCGCGGCCAGGAGCAGGATGAGCGCAGCCACCTGCGTGCAGCAGCACCAGGCTGCGAGCTCCCTGCTCCTCGGCTTCTCTGAGCCCAGTATTACCACCCCAGTCCCAAATTTCACCTACCTCCCCACAGACCCCTCTTTATTCATTTATAATGCTTAATTTGATGCAAAACGATGTGCACATATAGCAGCCGGGGATGGAAACCCTGTTATCCCGGAGCAGAGCTGCGTTTCCACAGCTGCAGCACGGCTCCCACCCAACTCTCCCCAAAAACAACCCCCAAAACCTCAGGTTCCTGTAGAGAAAAGAGGGGAATGCCACACATTTCCTTGCCAGATGAAAACTCCTATTCCTGGTGGCTTGTGTTTCTGTATGCATGTAATTCAAACAGGTCTGAGGACAATAAAACATTCTTTAAATATAATACTGAAGTTTTCTGCAAAGTACCTTGCATTTTACACTCTACAGGGAAAAAATAAAAGAAATAAAATAAAAAGACATAGAGCTGTATTAACTGCACCCAAAAATCTGAGATGGGTGACTTTTTCTGCTCGCTGCTCTCTGCATTTCACCCCTTAACCCCCCTCCCAACAAAATGCCGTCAGTCAGCATCAGGCTTCACACGCCAGCCGGCACAAGGCATTTAACAAAAATACAGAACTGACAAAACTCATTAGGGGAGAAATGTATCGATCCCTGCAGCCTGTAAACCAAGGTGTCACTGTGCTGGCCACAGAGTTCATCCCCACGGTGAGCCGTCCTGGGTGAGGACATCCACAGCAACGCTGCTCTGGAGGGAAACAATTTTAAACCAAGACAGTGGTTTTGTTCCGCGTGTTATCCTGGAATAAATGCACATGCCCCCTTTTTCCTCTCCCTGGTTGAAACTGAGGAATTTTCTTCAAGTGTTTATTCTGGCCATTTTTCCCAGGTAAGAGTAGAAAATGCCAAGGACAAGATACTTGCCATACTTTCCATACACAAGAATATGCCGTGGAGTGAAATGAATTTGAGGCTGGGTGTATGATTTGATGCTTTGCAGGGGCTTTGGACCATTTTCTCTTTTCCCTGCAACTGGCTCCTCCCAATACCAAACCATCCCAAACTCAAAATAATACTGAGCCTAAACTCACTGACCTATATGGGATGCTCAGATGCCACCATTAAAAATGGGGCAATAATACCTATGAAGTTAAAAGGAAAACTGTTTTTTTTTTTTTTGTTTTTTTTTTTTTTTTTTTTTTTCTTGAAGGAGTCAGGGATAGCACGTCAGAGCCTGCTTTTGACTGATAGACATCATGGAGTGTTACTTAGTCATTTCACCTTTCTGAAAACTGGGGAGGGTTGGAAGGGGGGGGGGGGACGGTGTTTGGGGTAGAAAATGAACTGTACTAAACAAGTAACATCCAGATTTTGACAGCTCATTGGTAGAACTGAATTTCAATGCCATAGTTCATTTCTGATGAAAAGAGACGAGCCAGAGATGCACGCGGGTTTTGGAAGAGCTCTGCACCACGTCAGGTCTGCACCTGGAAGCAAGACACAGCTTGGCAATGGGAAAAGCATCAGGGGAAATAAAAAGTGGAAGAAAACCCAGCACTCACTCGTGACCTGTGCCTTGGCAATTGGAGCTCTGCAGGTGACAGAAAAATTGGAGCAGCCCTGGCACATAAAAAGCAAAGTTGCAGTCCTCCAGCCCGGCACAGCGCAGGCAGTGCCTGCTCGGTCGGTGCAAATCATTGCTTGCATTTCTCTGTGCCGAGTGCAGGAATCTGGTCACTATTAGCAGGGAGGGACAGAAAACAGTTTGTGCTGACACTGTCCCCGTTACCACTGCTGGCAATAAGCCTCGTCAAAAATAAAATCACAACAAAACATTCCCCCACTCCTAGGGCTGTTGTGTGGTGTGATTTCATGCTCTGAGTCCTGGTTCAGAAATGCTTCAGATCAGCAAGATGGATAACGAATCCATCCCTGCTTATCTGACAGCCAAGTAAAGAGGCTCCATCTATGCACAGACAGAGGGTTTCTATGTATTTGGTACTAAATGAATTACATACCTAGGGGGTGCTGAATAAATGATCCTTGCAAGAGGTTTTCTTCAATCTTATTTTTCTTATGTCCCTAAATCTTTAAGGTATATAAAAGTCCAAAGTCGTGTAAGATAATAACCAGCATGCTATAAATCTCTTTTGTTCCTCACGTGAGATTGTTTCCTTAGACTTTCGGCAATCTCACCTTTGTAGTGGGTGAAATATAAATAACTTCAAGTACTGCAACACATCATATTTTCTCATTCAGACGTCAAAGTCTGGGAGCAGCACGCACCAGAAAAACAGCCTTCTGGAGGGCTCTTCTCGTGGCCGAAATTAAGGAATTGAGAACAGCTCCTAAAAATCGATTCCCCCTTTCTAATCTACCTGCAGTATTTTTACACCTGTGCACATTCCTGGACCTAAAGGCAGTTAATTTCTTAGGGCAGAGTGAGATCTTAATTATGCCTGGTCTATTTGAACAAGTTGCAACCCACCAAAAGCAAAACCTGAGTTATTACACAAATCCTCAGAGCTCACATTTGGCTACGATGACCGACCTTGTTATCACTGTTCCACCCCACTTCAGCAACAAGCCAGCTGGACCTTCCTCTGGCCTTTAAAATGAAAAATGTATTTTTTTCTCCTGAAAACCGAGAAGATTGCTAGCAGTCGAAACTGGAAATACTGCGGTTTAAGAGCAGTTCTTGTCAAATAATTCTCTTTTTTTTCAGAGCTCTGATGCTGAAGAGTACAGCAACTGCATTTACAACGCTTGTTTGTTTGCAGCAGAAGTACAAGGGGATCTGAGGGGGGTGTCAGTTTTAAGAAAAAAACCTTGGAGTACCCTTTTGGGGTGGGGGAAGCTTCATTGCCTGGCTCTACCAGCTCAGGCACCAGGATGCCAGCGGCTGGGGTAGCAGGGTCTGGCTGGCAGAGGTAGCTCTCATCAGTCGCTGTGATTTTTATTTAAGGCTTTTGTGAAACTGCCTTTCCCCCCTCCCCAGAGCCCCAGATAACAGCACCAAGTGATTGATTCGACAGTTCCTGGCAAAAGGATTTCCAGCGTCTGTGTCAGCAGAGGTGCACTTTGAAGGACAGCCCAAAATAAAATAAAATAAATGGAATTAAGACACCCTCACTGTCATTGCTTTTGTCAGGCACAATTTTTAAGACTTTGATCCCAGTGATTTGCAGCATAGGGCCAGGACTGGCATCACCAAGCATCACTGTGGTGCTGGATCTCTCACTTGCTGTAATTTACAGGTGACGATCAGTGCGTGCAGATCGACTCAGTAGAAAACTCCCTCAGAGCAGCATTCAACCCTCAATAAGCGATTTTATAATTCGTGTTGAAGCAGAAACATTTTCCTGGGTGAATAAGAAAAGCTCTTAATCTGAACATCACTTCAGGTCTAGTTTCAGGATCTTGGTCTGCTTCCAGCTCAGTCAACAGAGAAAAAAAAAAAAAAAAAAAAAAAAAAGAATAAAGCACACATTTTTAGGCAGATTTCTTACAACTAACATTGCAGTGAAAAGCTGAGCCCGCAGCCCAGCCCAGCCCCGAGGAGCAGGAGCACTCAGAGCCCAGCTCTGCCTGTGTTGTGTCCGTGGCTGTGGAAGGCAGCATCGTGCCGCAGCCAGGCTCCGACAGCCCTGCCCCGGCTGCATCTCCCCAAATCCCACACGTGGAGTAGCCTCGAAGTGCTTGAAAGCGATCAAACTACTGACTTCACAAACGGCTTAAAGTGTTTAACTTGGCTGCTTATATGAAGGGAAAAAAAAAGTACTTTCCCCCTCACCCTTTCCAAAACAAGCATGTTTCTGGCTTAGTTGTATTTGTATGTGGTTTTTCTGGCTCAGCCCTTCCTTTTGCTGTAGTGAAAATGGCTTTGCTTGAGAAACATCAGTTCATTCGCCTTAGTGCTGGCAAAGAGAATTTTCCAAAGTGGACAACAGGAGAGGTCCCAGAAATCCCAAACCCTGCCCTTCAGGGCAGCATAAGAGGTGGCTCATGCCTTGCTCTCTGCCCCCCAGACAGTTTTCTGCAGCGTATTTGGCTGCAGATCACTTGCAAGGTCAAATTGAGTGGCCTGAAGGAACACCTTTGGGTCAGTGAAAGGGTTTGGGGGAATCTCTGATGCCCCTGGAAGATGCAGCAATGTCCTGGAGGTTTCTGCCCATGATGTGACCAGGATGGGGATGCTGGGCTGAGGTGGGGACACACATTGGGTCCCCTCCACTCTTCCTCTGGGCAGCAGCTTCTGGCACAAGGAAGGGGCAGGCAGGGCAGGAGGGCAATTTCTCCACCCCTCCCAATTCATCAAGTGAGCCATGAGCTCTGTGTGCTAAACTGAGAGCAGTCAGGGATGGGAGAAGAGAGGAACACACCTCTGTGACACGCAGCAGTTTGTGCCACAGCATTGGAGCTTGCCTCCCTTGGCACAAAAATGACACTTCTGGGTGCTTTGTCAGCTGCTTAGCTGAAAAGCTGTAAGGCTGTGACACCAAGCACAATTTGGCTTGAAGCTGATTTTAGAGAGATCAAAAGAAGGAGCTAATTCTGTAGGGAACGGGAGCTGAAAGCCTGAACCTTGGCCGCTTCTGCAGGTACGGCGGGCTCTGCCCCTGCGGGTGGCGTTTGCAGGGCTCTGAAAACTACTCTCACAAAATACATGGTGGCAGTTCCTTCTGCTCAGACTCGGATCAGCTATAAGGCAAAATGACAGGCAAGTGAAAAAGAAAAGGAATAAATCCTAAAAGGGAGCTCCAGCAAGTCATAAAACTGTGGAGAACTTTTAATACCTTAAAAGAATAAGACCAAAGATTTGAATTTTCCTTTGTTACAAGGGATAACACTAATTTTCCTCCTACCACTTTAAAAAACAAAAACAAACAAACAAACAAAAAAACTATTTGTGCTCTGTGACTTTTACAAGGGGCTGGAAAAAGACTTCTGTTCCCCTAAAAGCGGGCCAAAAATCGGAGCCATCAGCTGGGCAGGACCATGGGTACATGCGATGCTGCCTTTCCCGTAAGCATTTGGATAGATATACAGAATTAAACACACTTGCCAAGATAAGCAAGATGTTTTGGCCACCAGCAGGTGATCTGAGCCTTAAGGAGCTGTAAGATGGGCAGAGCAGCTCAGCGCTGGGTTTTGCAGGGAGATGCACAGCCCTGCAGCACGCTCACGCAGCTGGTTGGCATCAAGGAGCTGCACACATCCGATTTCTGCAGCTCCCTTTGCAGGAGAATTTTTTCCCCTCCAAGCCCCATCAGCTCACCTGGCTTCCCCTTCCCAGAGGATCCTAGTGGAGTTCCCAAACACTCTTTTCTCCCTAAAAATACTTGACGTTTTGTCATCTGGACGGTTTGAAGCAGCGTTTCCCAAGTCAGCACTCACTCTATGCAACCTCTCCCAGGAGAGCTGTGCCAGCAGCTACCAGCAATAAGCCAGCTTGTGCTGTGGCCCACCCACAGCCCCTGGCTGCAAACACCCGCTCACCACCGCTGGCAGAACCGCCGGTCCCTGCCAGCCCCGCTCCAGCTCCCATCCCTCCCTCAGTGACCTTCTTTCCAGGAGCCTGGGCTGTGCCAGGCATGCTTTAGAAATCATAAATCACGGGCCTGATCCCAAACCCAATGGAGTCAATGTTAAAAAAATAAAAATAATAAAAAAAATCAATTCCAGCAGTGTTTGGACTGGAGGAACAAGACCTGAGGATCTTGCCTAACCCTGGTGCCCCATGAATTAATTCCTGGGCATTTAGCTGCGTTTCACAGTTCTCCATGCTGTGCAACAAGCATGTGGCAGCGGATGTTTCCCAGAAGCAGGTTAGTTTATCAGTAGCTGAGTCAGATTGGTGAAGTGGGGTTTTATTGTAACCCTGCTCTTCAGCATTTCTCCTACTTAATGTTTCTGCCAAACAAAGCAAGGTAAACAAATGTTTCTGTTCTGATATGGGCGCTGGACATCAGTGCCGAACCTTTTGAAAAGGCTCAAACCCAGCTGACGTCCGTCACTGCCTCGCCAGAAACATTTCCAACCTGAGCTGAATTTTGGGATGCCTCTGAGAAACCTCAGACAGAATAATTTAAGTGCTGCCTTAGAAAACACGGGCTCCTTCTCTCTAAAGGGCTTACCTATTGCTGCAGCAGCAAAACCAGCAGGTAGCCGCATCGGAAGAGCCTTGTCCCGGACCTCTCCTGCAGCACCTTTGTCTTGTAGGGCCGGTGGTGGGGAGGACAGAGGGGAGAGGAGCTGCTTTCTCTGGCTTCCTTTCATTAGCATCCCCTCTTTCCCAGCGAAGCTTTCTTTTAAAGGAGAAAGGCATGACACGGGGAACAAAACCCGCTGCCTTCGCTCCCCCTGCGCCTACATTGTGCCAAACTTGCCCGGCCCTTCTCCCCGAGCAGCGGGAAGCCTCTGCAGCCCTGCAGGTAGCTGGGGAGAAGCAGCATCTGCACAGCTGGGGGAACCAGCTGGGTTTCCTGAGCCGGGGAGATCTCTGCAGGAGCCCCCTGAGCTGCACGAGTAGGAGAACATCCCATTTGGGCATCGGGGGCTCGCGAAATTAGCAGGGAAAGCTGGAAAGCCACACCGACTGGCTCGGCTCGACAGCCCAATTTCAGACATTTTTGCCTTGAGTGCGTTGGTGTAATTCAATCCAAGCTCTCATCAGTCACGGGGGAGCTCGGAGCTGAAGTCGCTTTTACCCTTTCACGAATTTTCGGCCCTAAAAGCTCGTGGTTGCTCGGGTGCGAGGGAGGCACACGGAGAGGGGAGAAGCCGCAGATCCCCGCTGTGACCCCCCCCCGGTCCCGGGCAGCCCTTTGGGGTGTCCCCTCCTGCCCTTTATGGGGGGGGTCCCTCACCTGTAGGGGGGCACCCCTGGGGGCTCCCCCAGCCTGCGGGGTGAGGAGGCGCAGCCCCCCCAGGGGCACGGCTCCGAAAAGGGGAAAGGCGGTGAAAAACCCATGGGAGGGGGGCTCGGAAAGTTGGATCAGGGGGTGTTGGGGTTCCCCCCCTCAACCCCATGCAGATTTCTCCCCTCGTGTGTTTGTGCTCCCGGCAGAGGTGAGAGCAGAGGAGGGAGGGAGAGGGGGGAAAAAGCCCTCCGGCCCTGCCTTCGGGGAAGCGGGAGGCTACTTCAGACAAAACAGTTATCCATTAACATCCAATTATCACTTGGTCCAAGCCATTAATTATAAATCAGCCTCCTAATTGGGATAATTAGCTCTCTGCTACTTAATGTAGTATGACTGATGCGTTTGGAAAGAAGGTAATCACTCCATTTGTTTAGCGTTAGGGGAACAAATCCAGCTCGCAGGGGTTCATTTCAGCCTTAGCCCCGACCCCCCCATACAGGAGAACCTCTTCGCGGCCCCAGCAGCTTTTTGGGAACCGGGACAGGGACGGGCACACGCAACCCCCCGGGGCTGGGGCCGGGCACCCCCCTCACACGTCCCCCCGCTTGGCTGGGGGCCGGGTTAATTGGAGGGGGTTAATTGGAGGGGAGGGGGCCGAGCCCCGGTGTGACCCCTCCGGAGGAACCGGGGAGCCCCCTCCCCGTGTCCCCCCGCCCAGCTCCGCATTTAACAACCGTTCAGGGAGAGCGGAAAAAACTTTCTTTCTTGGCAATTCTGATTTTTTTTTTCCCCCCCTTCCCCTGGATGTCTCATTAATGCCGGCTGCTCGGCGAGCCGCCGATAGCTGCGGGACATGATTAGATATTTATTACTGTCATTTACATGGAAAACTTGAGCTAACCAAGTGGAACTGGAGGGGGCCGCCGGAGGGGACGGGATGGGGCGGTGGGGGGAAGATTTTAATTTTTTTTTTCCCCTGGCTCTGGAAGACGAACCCGAGAGCAGGACCCAGCCGGAGCCCGGCCGGCTGGAGAGGCGTGTTGGGGGCCGAATCCCGCCGAGCCCCCCCTCCATGGGACAGGGATTTTGGGGCCGAGCCCTCCCCGGCCCCCAGGCTCTGCGTTTCGTTTGGAGAGGGAGCGGGGTGCGCGCATCCCCCTGTAAAACGAGGGATTTTCCCCCTTTCTGCTGTCGGACTCGCAGAGACCGAAGAGATCCTTAGGGACAGCGGGAATTTGGCCCGGGATGCGCTGACCCCCGCTCCCTCCCCATACCGGCGGGTGTCCCCCCCGAACCGCGAATCCGCCTGGAAATCAACGGAAAAAGCAGCTGGGGAAAGCCGGGGGGCTGGAGGGATTGGGGGGACCCCAGGACTCCGGTGGGGGGAATGCTCCCAGCCCCTTCTCCAAAAAAAAAAGGAAATAAAAAAATAAATAAAAGCAGAAAGTCACGGCGGGTCTGGGCTTAAACCGCATCTCCCACGGCGGAGAAACTTCCCGGAGCGCTTCGCATTGCCTAAAGGAGCCCGTGCCCTCCCCATCCCCAGGCGGGACCCCCCTCCCGGGAGGTCACCCTCGCCCCCCGGCGGGTTTGCGGTGCCCCAGCAGCCGGCACCCACCGGGACACGGAGTTTTTTTTCCCGACCAAGTGCTGGCTGCGCCCCCCCGCCCCTTCCCGAGCTGTTATCCCATGGCCCGAGGGGCGACTCTGGCGGAGATGTATGAGATCTCTTGCGGTAAAAATATGCATGCTGATCCCCATTTGGTTAGCCCTATAATGGAGGTGTAAATAGGTTTCGACTGCGAAGCCCTTAATTTATCACCCGAGCCTGACAGCGCAGGTCCGGGATTTATATACCTCTTAAAGTCAGAGCGGGGAGGGGGTCGGGCCCCTAGCTCTTTGCAGGCGGGTCCCCGTCCTTTTTTTTTTTTTTTTTGCCATCTAACCTTGCAAAAGGGTGGTGCAGGGGGATGATTTTCCGTAAAAACATCCCTTAGCGCTGCCGGAATCGTGCCCTGCCACGCGGTCCCTTCCTCACTCAACTTCAGCGGCACCGGAAAAAAAAAAAAAAAAAAAAAAAAAAAAGAAAAGCAAACCACAGCCACCCCACAGCCACCCGGCCCCACTCGGGGCAGTTTCTGCCGCCGGCGGGCTCTCACCTTATTAAAACATCATTATGTAAATCGGGGGGAAAGTTGCACTCCCCCCTCAGAGCCCGGCAAAGGAAAGGATGCGCGGCCCCTGCGCTTTCCCCACCCGCACCGGAGCGGGCTTCGTGTGGGCTGATAGTCGGGGTTTCATCTTAAAAAATTAAAGTGAAAAAGCACGATATACTCCAAATAAAGCAAAAAAAATAAAAATTAAGAAGGGACAGCGAGAGGATGCGACTCGCGCTATAGCCCTGGCTGCGCCTCTCCGCGGTGCGCGCATCCCTTCGAGCTTCTCCGCGGAATCCCCCCCCCTGGAGAGCTCCCCACTCGCGAGCAGACCCCCCGACCGTGCCCTATTCCCCCCCCCAAGGACATCCGGAGCCTGGGGGTGGGGGTCTTACCTGGGGCGGCGGCGGCGCAGCCTGTCCGCCCGCGTGGGAGCGCCGCCACGCGTGGGAGCGCGGCGCGCCCTACCCCGGCCGCCCGCGGTGCCTGCGCGCTGCCTCCGCGCCCGGCGGAGCTGCCATCTACCGGGAGGCTGCATTGAAGAAGGATTTTTAAAAGGAGCTTCAGAGCGACCCGGGAGCTACCCAGCAGGATTTTCAATGGTTCTCCATCCTGTCAATCAAAACGGGGCTGCTGATACATCCCCCCCCCCCTACTCTCCATCCTCCCCCCCTAACTCTTCTTACCAGTCATTTACTCCAAGCCGAGGTGTAAACGCCTAATTAAATCCCCGGGAGCGGATGGGATGCCGCTGGAGGGAGGAGGGCTAGACCCGGGGCCGGGGGGGTGATGAGGGCCGTGAGACATAGGGGAGGGAAGCCGTGCCCCCCCCGCCCCGTGGTTAGCACCACGCTGGATCAGACCCTGAAGTTTTCTTCTCCCCGATATCCCCCTGTGAGCTGGGGTGTGTTGTGGGGGCAATAATCTTCCAGCGTTAATCACAGAGCCGTCGCAGCTCCCCAGACTGATCCTACACCCCTCGGCTGGTCTCTAAAACGGGCCGGGAGGGGGCAGAAAAAACTGGGGAGAAAGCGGGGGGCTTTGAGGAGCGGGGGGCTTGGAGGGGGAAAGGGAAGAGAGAGGAGCAGAGGCCAGATATTTCTGCGGAGAAGAAACGACGGGTTAACGCATCACCTCGCTTTTACTCTATTTTATTTCATTTTAACACCCTCACCCGAAATATATACATATTTTTTTCAGGGCATAAAAGTAGGAAACCCGTCTCTCTCTCTCTCTCTCTCTTTTTTTTTTTTTTTTTCTCTTTTCTTTTTCTTTCTTCCCCTCTCTGCGGGATTTTCGCAGGTACCTTCCCGTCCAGCGGTCGGGCTGGTTATCTGGCAGAGCTAACTAACTGGAGCGGGGTTGTATTTGCTTTTCAGCTTTGCCATGCCTTCGCAGCAGAAAGAGCAGTTTAAAGCCTTTAGAGAGATTGCTAATAGATGCCAGCTCCTTGCCTTTAGATTCTCTCCCAGCCCAGAAGGATTTAGGATGGGATTGGGAGACAAGACGCCATTTCAGGCTCCAAAACACCCTGTTTTAAAATGACTGCGGGTAAGAGGATTAAAACAATAATACCCTTCTCTTCTTGAAGGTTTTTTTTTCCTCTCTCCCTCCTATAGAAAAGATTTCTTCTCCCAGAGCAAAACCGTTTAGACAGGAATTAAGGGAACAAGAAAGAATAAGAGGGGGGGAGAGGACCTTTTAATTTGAGCTTGATATTTTGTACAAATTCTGACCAAAAAAAAGAAGAAAAAAAAAAAAAAGAGGGGGTCGGTCTGTCTCAAGACACCAGAGGCTCCAAGTGCCACTTTCTTGTATTTATTTTTATTGTATGAGGACTTTTTCCAGGGGTTACGCGGAACCAAGTGATTGTCCCGGGGAAGGGGTGGGGGTGAATCTATTTAAATCTGTTCCAGCCTCCTCCAGCCCTCGCTGCCCACGAAGGAGGGGAGCCCCTCGCCCTGCCGCCCCCCGGCCCCGATAATTGATAACCGCCCGCTTTCGGCCGGGAAACCGATTGGGCGAAACTCGGCTTTTCCCGTCGCGGTTTGCGCTTTTCGGGGCAATTTTTCGGGCCTCCGTGCCCGGTTTGCGTGGGTACCCCCCCAAAAAGCCCATGGGGAATTGCTCCCCTTGCCTTTTGGGGTGGCTGTGCCAAGGGAACCCCCCGCACACCCACACCGGGTTTGCGACCCGCACCGTCCCCACTCCGCTAACCACAACGAGTTGCGGCGGGGGCGGGAGGGGGGCAGGCGGGGGATGCTCCCCAAATTCGTGCCACCCTCCTGGAAACCCCCCCAAGCCTGTCGGACAGCCGCCCCCCCGACCTGTAGCTCGCAGGAGGCAGCCCCGAGGTGCAAAAATCCGCCCAAGCGGCCGGCAAACTTTGCAGGGCTCCGTGGTTGAATTTAACGGGGAAAGGACCCCCCCCTCTCTGTGTGCCGGGGAGGGGGGGGGCGAGGTCCCCTCTGTTGTTACTGAATTGGTGCTTGCAGCCCAGGCACAAAAAATCCCAGCCCCTCCGCCCGCGGTTACACCATTGTCTCGCCTTTCTGCTCGCTGAGCTATTAAGCACGGGAGATTTTGGGATTGCTTCGATGAAAAATCCTTAGTTTTAATTCCCCTCTTTCTCCCTCCCTCCCTCCCCCCCCACCCCGGAAGAATTAATAAGAGTTTCTCTCTGTCTTCAGAAAATCTTGCCGGGCTCTCCAGCGACGGGGTTTCTGCGCTTTTAGCAGCCC